GGTCGAACACGACTTCGTGACTAACAACAAACAACAACAAGGACATACTGGAGACCAGCATCAAGATCATCCAAATTATTTTATTCCCAGTCACATTGTATGAATGTGAAAGCTGGACAGTGAAGGAAGCTGAAAGGAAGAAAATTGATGTATTTGGAACACAGTGCTGGAGGAGAGCTCAGCAAATATCCTGAACTGACAGACATTTTAGAGGGGGATGTTCATTCGTAGTAGTGCCTTAGACATGATGCATACAAGATCTACCTTTGGTCTACTTTTGGCCTAGAATATATAACTCAGTTCTGCATTGTGTAGGGAATATGTTAGCTAGGTGAATTTTGCACTGAGATGCTTTTCCCAGACAAAGCGATGAACTTGGAGAATTTGTAAATCTCTTTGTTAAGACAGACATGGAAGATATTCACGTAACAATTATGGATAATATGATTAAAAGAAATTGCCGTATGCAGAAGTCAAAAGCTGTGCTACTTTAATATTGTGGATAACTTTTCTGAGAGTTCTGTCTGCGTTTGCGCACGTGCGCATGCACGCACACACTTATGTCTGTTGGGATCCATGTAATTCAGGGTAAACACAAATACAGAACTCAGAAGTTTGGAAACAATTTCTTTTAAATGTTGTTTCCTTTGTTCTGTATAATTTATAACATATGTTTTTTGTGAATCTGCCTACAGGCACCAAGCATGATGTGGCTAGGTTAACATGAATTGCTTGAGCCTTTTGCTCATGACTTCATGCAGCAGTTGAGCTTTCCTAATCTTCTAACCCTTTATTTTTATTTCGGCTGCTTTTCTGCCTCATAAATCTTATAGCATTTTTACATGACAGCCAAATAGCAGAAGAGAGTTTCAAAAGAACCTGCTTATCATTTCAAGATATCAGAAATAAACAGGCTAGATATGTTCAAAGTTTTGCCAGTGCAGAATTGATCATTAACTAATGGTATATTTGACTGATAGGATTGCTGGCACATATTTAATTTAAATCAAAAGTAGACACTGGAAGTGTTTTCCTCTAGTAGCAAATAGTGCTGCCATTTCCACGTATGAAATATGATAATTTTTATTAGCATTATTCTTCTGGAAAGGCTCCTTCAATTATTTGCCATTCCAGCCTGGAGGAAACTTCAGAGTGAAAAACCAACAAAGGCCACCAGATTTATGCACATCATCTCAAGTACAAGTGGTAGGATGCCTTAAATCTTCTTCAGTAACAACTTTGTTCACATTGTTAGAATAAAAAAAATGAGCATGTGGGAAAACAGTGAAAGTTTAGAAATAAAGAATCACTTTTTTATTTAGATCTATGGTTTTAAAGTAATGTTGAGTGAAAGTTTACTCAGTTCTTGCACTGCTGCCTTCTTATGTAATGTAGTTGGCAAGTTTTTTTATGTGTGGTACTTCGTTTGAATGCATAATGCTGATCTGTTTTTTGTCCTTGGTGACGGTTATTATATCCTAATGGGTGCAACACTGCGCTAATTATCCTTATGTATATAAATTCTTCTTGTAGTGAGCAGACACCATAGGGTCACATAAAAATGTTTGCCTCAATTTCCCCACAAAAAAGGAATTCAGAAACCAGACTTGTACCAGTAACAGATTTTTAAAGGTAGAGGAACCCAATAAAATTACCAGCTCCTCACAGCATGTGTCTATTTCCTTTTGACATATTGTGAGGTGTAGCTGAGATATTCTAACCAAACTGACAGTGTAAGGAGGACAGCTCACCAAGATTAAATGGAAAGAGGGAGAGAGAGAGAGATTTCAGTAATTGTGGAACCCAGCTTCTAAATCTTTTTGGTTTCACCTCTCTTAATTCTTCTTTAGTGACTGTGGCTATGTAGTTATTTAAAATTAGGCTTAATTTATTTGGAAGATCTCACATTTATGATTCCTATTTGGCAAATTGGCAAGAATGACATGCCTCTGCATCATTTTCCATTAAAAGAACACAGCAAACTGAGCCAAAGTTCACAGTTCCAGGAACAACTAAGCAGACCCTAGCATACTTCAAGGAAAAATGTCTCAGGACAGTGTAACACAGCAGCCACTGGCGGGGACTGAGGGTGGGGGGAGATTTTCAATGCAGCTATCAGGATACTTTCATATATTCCATAACTGTGTTTCTTGCTGCCACCGCTGCTGCCACCTTCATCATCATCATCTGTACCACTCAATACCCAAAGTTGTCTAGGTAGTTTACAGCAGTACATAAAAAACAATAAAACTGCAATATAAAAGTACAGTAAGTTGTAAAAATATAAAAATAAAACTGCCGCTCCTTCCCCAACTCAGCTTTGGACAGCCCCTCAGCTTTATAGGAAAGATTTTGATGGTGTGGAGGGTGCTGCAGAAGATGGAATTGCACCTCATGCACTTTTCAGTGACCATGTCAAATGTTTAGTAAGTTAACTTGTAGGCAAACTAGAGGTATTGAATTAAACAGAAATAAACATATAATTGGTAATAAAAAGTATGAAATCTCATGCATTGATTCACATATTCACAGCCATGATCTTTCAGCTAATATGTATTCAAAGAATACATTATATGAACCCAGAACCTCCAGCAGATGTGCCCATACCTGGCCCTGTCAAAACTTATCCTAGACTCATTTCTTTGCCTAAATGCATTTTAACCTGCTTTATAAGTTGTGTGGGTGCACCATTTAATGCAATAACTATGCTTACTCATCTACTGTAAGAAAAAATGTTATACTCCCTAGTTCTTCCTAGTCTTCACATGTATCTTACTTTAAACACTTTTGTACTGCTTCTTTTATGTTGATCTAGAAGGTCAACAATTTGTATAATGGTTACTAGTTATGTCAGGCACATATTAATCATCCTGGATCAAGGGCAGTATTGTCTTGGTAGTGGATGGTATATAAACATTCTAAATAAATAATAAAACAATAAATATTGCACATGGCAGTTGCTGGAGAGCACAGTATGTGTGCTTGCGTTTTTGTCCTGCCTGTGAGCTTCCAATAAGTATCTGACTGGCTGCTGTTCAAATGGAATGCTGGAATAGGTAAGCCTGACCCAGCACAGGTCTCATTATGTTTTTGTGATTATGCAGACGTACCTTTCCCTTAACGTTTTCCTTTTTCACTTCAGTGGAAAGGTAGCCTCTTGCATGAGAAAAGAAGCTTGAACAAAGCTGAACCCTTTACTGTAGTAAATGGGAAGCCTGTGTAAGATAGGTACCATGTGCATACTATGGAGCAGCCCTAGATTTGAAGGCACTGCACTTATTCAGTAACAATCATGACTAGATATTTTCCTTGCTTGTTTATACATTTCCCCCCATAGCAATTTTATTTACTTCTTCCCAGCTACCTTTGCTTCCAAATCAGGAACAGAATCATAACTGACAGGCAAAATTTTAAAGCATTCTAAATGTCACTGGACCTTTTAATAGAATTAATTAGCCTGCCACAGAGAAAATTTACTAGCCTGCTGGTTAATTTCACAATGTAAAATCATGGGGTTAGAGGTAGAAGGGGAAAATCCTTATTACTTTTAAATAATTATTTAAAGATGTGTGTCTTGCCTCTTTCAGACACCATTCAAGGGAAAACAACTTCAGTGCAAGCTTTTAAAATCTTAAATTGTGCACTATCATGCCTCCTTTTATAGTTAAAGAAATCTACACAGCTGAAATTAAAAGATATATACCAGCTATTAAGCATTAAAGTGGACACCCAGGAATAGGTGGGGTTCTAACTGGGAGGTGATTTTATTAATATTCTTAGTACCGTGTTAATTTAAGCAAACTACATATATTTCAGATGCAATGCTAAACTGAAATTGTACTTCAGGGAAATGTGTATTTGTGGATCTTGGTAAAATGGCATTTTCTTTTCAGAAGAAATGAAAACCTGTCAGGAATTTATTCAGTATTAGTTACAAAATGTGATTATTTATTGATAGTAGTAATTTCTTTCAAATTGCACCTAAGACTTCATTTTAATGAAATTTTCAAAATTATTCAAATAATTACTTAATGCATTAAGTAAATTCATTTTGGACAGTATAATTAAATAATATAAGTTCACAGTATGAACAAATTTGTTCCTGGCATTTTTGAAGAAAACGCAGTGAGTGTGTGATGAATGAAATGCCAGATATATAGTATGCTGACATTAATTATATCATGGGCCCTTTTCCTGCATGTTTTTGAGTTTTTCTCTAGTGATATAATGGAGAGGAGGCTCAGGTACATTGCTTTGGCCACATTGGAAGAAAGGTGATCACATTTGTATAAATGTACCAATAGATAAGTAAAGAAATATTGCTTGGCTTCCAGTAAATGTCACTGGTCTAAACAAACTTTTGCTTGCAAAAATTCAAACTTTGCATCACAGTATTTGGTTATTGTTAGCATCATAGTAACAACACTGTCAACAATCTAATCACCTTTCCTATCATGTATGCTGGTAACCCTTGGAAGGCCATGGCAGTTATAGGCAGCCTATAAATATGTGTATTAATGAAAATAACCCAAGCTCTATAAGAGATGAGAATTTTTTAAAAAATCCTTACTGAAGAGAATAGCCACCTTCCTACATTGGGGCTGTTTGAACCATATTACAGCCCACCATGGATTAAATAACCCACAGTGAGGCTGCAGTGGATTTGACCATCTTTTTGAATATGTAACCACTGCTTGTGAGTTGTCATTTATGCAAACCTAGCAAGCATTTTAGTGTTAAGAGGACATGTTTGACCTTTTCAAAATCTATATTTTCTGGGTTTGCACAGCTTGGCAGTCACTGAGTGGGGGGTTACATAGGCAAACTGATCCCCGTGGGTAACAGGGCTGATCTGAACCTAGTCATGGCCTCACACTGAGTCTTAAATCTGACATTATGTCAAAGCTATATTCAGTTTTTTTCCATCATAACAAATAAGTAGAAATCAAGCTCATGTAACATACTGTGTTACAACTAACATTATTGTATCTTTTCTTTAGCTATACTAAATGTGGATGATTCAGTAGTTGACCTGGAAACACTTGAAGCACTGTATGAGAATGTAAGTCTTGCTGCTAGACTGCTAATTCACATACTGGAAGTGAAATGTGACCACATATTCTATGCTGCAACCCCAATATTCTTTTTGTCCAAATTTTGTCTTTCTACATCAGAAATGCTCCTCTGTTCTCATTTATGATATTTATGTGTTTTTCCCTGTGAGGTATAGTCCTTTAGTATTTGTCTTTTCAGTCATTTCCTTTCAGTATTCTGTCATCTTCTGTTTTCTTTTTGTACCCTTCGTTAAAATAATCATAGAATATTAGAGTTGGAATAGAGCAAGAAGGCCATCAGCTCCGACCCCCGTCGTTGCAGGACACCAGTTTACACCATCACATTCAAATGACTGTCTAGTTTCTTCCTGAATCTCTCTAGTGTGGGAGAGCCCACGTCCTCTTTAGGCAACTGGTTCCACTGTAAAATTGCTCTGACAGTTATGTCTAGCCTGAATCTGGTTTGTCACAACTTGAACTGATTATTCTGTGTCCTATACTTTGGTATGAGCGAGAAGGGATCTTGTCCTTCTTCTTTGTGACAGCTTTTCAGGTACTTATAAAGTGATATCATGTCCCCCTTCAGCCTTCTCTTCTCTAGGCTGAACATACCCTGTTCTCTCAGTCACTCCTCAACCTTTCCAAACCCTGGTTCATTTTTGTTACTCACACTTGTAGACCATCACCTACTTACCAAGCTTTGAGGGACCAAGTTCATTCAGGCAAAGATGTCCAAGCCTGTTAAAATTCATTTAGTGACTGAAAGGCCCTGGTTTTAGAAGTGGCCAATTGTCCAGTGCAAGGTGAGAGGAGCAGTAGAGGCTCTCTCTCCATCTTTCCCTGCAGATTTTGGTAAATAAACTTCAGAGGACAAGGAAGAGAACCATAGCAGACTCAAGATAAATGGTGTCCTGGCCTTTCCAGTCTTCTCCTTTCTCTTCTCACACTGAAATGCTCCCATTCCTCCTCCTCTTCCTCCAAGGTCATTTTTGTGAGGTCAGGTGGTAGCCAGCATGATTCTTCCTATGCCAGGTGCAAGGAGGCAAGAGAGGAGGGTTGGATCTCCATTTCCCCCTTCCAAAGTTGGGGCATTGTTTAACAGCATGGAAGGAGGAATTTGAATAATCCTCAGGTCCTGAAACACTTGCCCAGGTGTCATAGGATTGATATTTCAGTCATTCAGTATGTTCATATTTTACTTAACTAAAATTTTCATGTTGGCTAGAAATATTAATAAAAGAGATACAACAAGAGCCATATGCTTAAAATAGAAAGGATGCAGCCAGTTTTACTGGAACAGCAGTGAATATCTGATGATCTTTCCCACAAGGGAGCTGATGTCTGCTGGCCCAGCAGGCAACTGGCCACCTAACTAGAGCAGGCCCTAAAAATACTTTTGCTTGTCCCCGAATGGCTTGTTCTATCTTCCTTCTCATTGTACATTTGAAAGAGCACAAAATGAAGTCTTATAGCTATAAAATATAGACATAGGATTTTAGTAGTTTGCTTATTGAGCTTTTACTATTTGAAGCCTCTCATATTGTATTATGTCTTCCCAATGTACAAGCATTCCCAATGGTTAAAGACTACTTCATAACAAACCCATAAATGCATTGAGATTTCAAAAGTAAATGTGTTAGTATAAAGATATGTTTTTCATACCTACAATAGGAATTTGGATCAGAAAATCATGTTTCATGGTTTTAGAACTCATTTTCTGTTGCTCTGATGTCAGCATGAAGTATTCTGTGCATCTTCAAGGGAAAATTTTCTGCACAAACTTGCTGAGAAAGATTCTCTTACGGATCAGTAACTGGTTAAAAAATGAAGCAGACTTGGAATAAATGATCAATTCTCCTAGTGGCAGTATGTAAACAGTGGAGTCCTACAGGGGTCTGTTCCATGACCAGTGTTTTCAAGTATTCATACATTATCTGGAATTAGAAGTGACAGTAACTGACCAAGCTTGCTGATAATACCAAATTCTTTAGGGTGGTTAAAACCAAAAGGGATTGTGGGGAGCTCTCCAGTCCGAGCAGCAAAATGGCAATTATACTTCAATGTAATTCAAAGAAAGTGCAAAATAATGCACACGGGACAAAATATCCAAATTAAAGTATAAGGTGGTGGGATCTGAGCTAACAGTCACTGACCAAGAAAGAGATCTTGAGATCGGGTGGACAGTTTAAGTGACAATGTCTACCTAGTGTGTTTTCTGTGAAAAAGGGTAACTCCATGTTAGGCATGACTGGGAAATAAACAGAAAATAAAACTGTCAATATCATGCTGCCGTTACATAGGAAGTTCAGAAGAGCCATGCTGGATCAGACCAGTGGTCCATCTAGTTCAGTATTCTACCCTGATACAATGTGTGCTGCAACTGCACTTCAAATACTGTGTACAGTTCTGGTCACCACACCTAAAAAAGGATATTATAGAGTTGGAGTGCAAGAAAGGGCAACTAAGATGATCAAGGAGTTGGAGCAATTCCTCTATGAGGAAACATCTGGGACTATTTAACTTAGAAAAAAAGGTGAGTTACAGGACACACGACAGAGATTTATGAAGGGTGAATGGGAAACATTGTTCTCTCACTCTCATAATACTAGAACCAGGGTCATCCCATTAAGCTTTTAGGTGGAAGATTCAGGAGAGAAAAAATGGAAGTTCTTCTTCACACAGTGCATAGTTACTATGGAATTGTCTTCTATAAGATGTAGAGATGACCACCAACTAGGACAACTTTAAAAGGGGGATGGACACATTCATGGAGGATAAAGCTACCAATGACTGGTAGTTCTGTTGGCCATATGCTACCTCCAGTATCAAAGACAGCATGATTATATACACCAGTTGCTAGAGAACATGAGCAAAAGAGTACTGCTGTGCTCATGCACTGCTTGTGGGTTCCTGTATTCACCTGGTTGGCAACTGCAAACAGAATGCTGTACTGGATCAATCCAGTCTAATCCAGTATGGTTCTTCTTATGTTCAGTACTATGTGTAACGTATTTTTTAAAGCACAACTGTCTCAATGTAGCTTGTGAAGTCAGTGGGTGGAAGCAATTTTTTCTCTCCTGGATCAGCAAATCTATGTTTAATATATGGGTCCTTTAGTTTCTGTTTGTGCATGGAGATTCACATGTGTTGCCCCAACCCTTTTTCATGGTGTCAAGTCACTAGCTGAAACTCCTATCCACACTGCTCCTTAGTCCACCAAGTTCAAAATGTTGGAAACCACTTTTTTAGGAGGCTAAAAAAACTCATTGCTTTTTTAACTTGCAGAGAGCGCAAAAGGAGGAACTGGAGAAAATAAAGCAGCACTATAACACTTCAAAGGAAGAAGAAGTAAAACTTTTGGACAAACCAGAACAGTAAGACCAGGAAGTGGGGAGATATATCTCAGTATATTTTTTCCATAATTTAAAGAAGGATTTGAAAAGCAGAACAGTTGAGATAGCATTGTGATTAGAATATGATGGCTTAAAAGAACTTCCATTTGCCACACTGTGAAATAGAATCCAAATACTGGCTAGTCTGTACCCAAACTGATTGATGTTAGAGACTTTCCAAGTCTTTTGTCAAAAATATCACAAGGCAGAGATTCCAGATAACTTTTTTAATAGGATAATTTTCTTAATCTAAATCAACCTTCTGTAATTTTAAATCCACCACTGCTTTTCTTGACCTCAGACAGAGTGAACAAACGTTCTGACTCTTCTAGTGTCATTACTTGAATACAGGAAATATAGATTTAAAATTAAAAGCTATCATGCTGTGCCCTCTTGACCTAAGTCAAAGGCATAGCTAGCAACTGCATTCTTTTTATCCTTACTCAAAAGTAAGTGCTAGGAACCATACCAGATGAGATTCCTTGTGGGTGTATGGGGGAGGGGGCTTCAGTTCTAGCTATAGGAACTACTCTTAGGAAGTGAGGGACAGGTTTATTCTATCCACTGTATTGAATCTCTCACATAGTTCACAAATGAAGTAGTAACCAAATGGCTAAACCTTATAAGGCAGCACATGTGAGAAGATTCTCCGAAGGATTAGTACTCATATAGACACTGAGATCAAGGCTTCTCAAGCAAAGCAGAAGCAGCCCTGAAATGGAGCCAGCATTCCAGTTCACTTGAATTTATGCAGAACTGATAAAAGGCTGAAATCCTTTGTCTCAGTATATGCCTTAATCTTCATAACGCTAAATTTGGAAAGCCCTAGGATCATCCAATAGGAATGACAGATCATCTCAAGATTGCAACATGAAGCTAATCTCTGGGGAAGCAAAAGCCTAGAGACAGCACCACAGACTCAATTTTGGGAAATGGAGCCTATATATTGGTTTATATAGCTTTTCTATACATCTAGAAGATCTAAACATCTAGCTTTTAATATTGGTTTAATATACCCAGTTACCTGTAGTAAGCCCCATTGAACTCAATGGAACTAAGTTTTGAATAGACATATACAGGGTTTTGCTTTAAGAGTATAAAATAAATTATTCTTCCTTCCTTCTTTCTCTTTTTCATATCTGTAAGACTCCTGTGTTAGGGATGATAGAACAGTATTAACATTTGTGCTTTGCAGGTTAATAACTGAGTCTAGCATTACAATTAATTCTAATGGAGTTGAATATTACTTCTTCTCTACTAAATGTGTTAGGATTGCAGCACAAGAACGACTGAGTTGTCGTAAGCTCATGGGTTCATGTTCAAATATGGAAACATTTCTACTGTCTTTATGAAGCCAGCCACAGTCAGGAGAGAAATAAGTCTGTGGATGTATTTCTACCCAGCAGAGGGCAGTATCTCTCTCTCTCTCTCTCTCAGTTCTGTGTTGTGTACTGTACAGAAACTACTGGGTGAATTTCTGCACTGAGATTCCCCTTTTTTGATGGAGGTTTACTCATAGCAAGATGCATAAGAATATCTTGCATGTATCTGAAATTTAAATTATACAAATTTTATGAATGTCTTACACTATTCCTAAATATGTTTTATTCATTTGATTTCAATACTGCTAAATAGTCAAAGTCTCTGCTTTGCATTACAGAAATGTAAAACAAGATTATTTTTTGTTCTTTTTTACAGATTTTTATATGAATTATCCCAAATCTCCAATTTTGCAGAACGTGCCCAATGTATAATATTCCAGTCTGTCTTCAGTGAAGGGATAACTGCAGTGCATCGTAAAGTTGATATTGTTAATCAGGTTTCTAAGGTAGGTGAGTAAAAAGTAATGATGAATAAAGGCATCAGTCATTTACTGGGAATAAGCCCCACTGAACTTTGTTGGACCTATTTCTGAGTAAAAATGGAACAGGTCTGAGTAAAATAGCATTTAATACTGACTTTATAACTGATACAACTAATTTAGCCCTGAAATTGGCAGGGATTTAAAATCAGTAAACATGGATAAGATTGTGCCCTAAGGCACCATCTCCTAAAGCAATCTGACTTTTGTATCGAAACTGCATGACTATGAATTAAAAATTAAATGGCCTACAACTCTCAACATGCCTTGGCCAACATACTTGGGTGGGGAATACTTGGATTCTAGGACATTTTTCTGCTAAACATCCATAGGAGTGTGCTCTTAAATATCTTAGTATAATTTTAGTATATTTGTATTAATCATTTAAATTATAAATCATAAGATCAGTTTGAATTCAGAAAGTATTCAGAATGGTTAGAGTTTCCATAGTGTAGTCATGTTAGTCATTTAGTTTATCTAGTCCATGAAATGTTCTGGTTATAACCATGTAATAACATGTTCAAGGATAGGCTGGACGTGCACATGGTGGGCATGTTGTGAGTGGAGCCGGCTGGTGCCGGAGGTCAGACTAGATGGTCTGGGAGGCCCCTTCTGACTCGCTCTGTTTCTATGTTTCTATGTATAGTTAATCTTTAAGGTACATCCAAAAATGGTAGAGGGGTGGGGAGTAACTGCATTCTCTACACACATTTCATCATAGGAAACTGTGTTTATTTAGCAATCCTGCATACGTATTGAGTGAGGAGTGATCTACCACATCTGAAACACTGCTGGCTTATGATGGCTGGCAAGGGTGGGGGAAGAAGCAGAGCAATTTTTGTCTCTTTTTCACCTGATAGCTTTTTCTTTGATTTTCCTTTGCACTGGATTTAGTGGGATGGGAAATACGTATGTTCAATGCTGGCTGACCTTATGTAGGGGCCTATCTGCCAAGGCTTTGTATTCAGTGAAACCAAGACTGGCCCATTCCCCAGTACACTGTTTCCATGCCTGCTGCTGGGAGAAACCCAATTGGCAGTACTCTTACACCTGTGGGGCTTTCCATGGATGTACTGGTGGCCTTGAGGAATGGCAGCATCAGGGATGGTTGATGGTTGTGCTCACTGAGATTCTCAAAATTCCACTTCAAAGTTTAGCCTTGTTTTTGTTTGCAACCTTCTTTTTTCTTCATTTGACTGTGAAAGGTACACATTTTTATGTACATTTCTCAAAGCCGCCCCAAGGCTTTCTGCGATGGGGGCAGCATAAAAATGTTATAGATAGATAGATAGATAGATAGATAGATAGATAGATAGATAGATAGATAGGGTGCAATCTCTCCCATTGGCTAAAACATAAAAATACATTTTTAAAAAAATATACATTTTTACAGTAGTTGCAATTTTGCAAATATGAACGCTTTTCTGGGAAAAAAGCATTTTGGATTTGGTGTTGCAAATGTGGAAAAGTCTGACAATTTGTGAACTGCAATGAAATTTTCATACATCCTTAATGCTTTCCAGCTGGTCAAATTCCTCTCTACCATCAGACACGCACTTTCATTGCATCCTAACTTCACTCAGCCATCTGCTCATGAGGGCTATGATCACTCTGCTATTTATTTCTTACCTAAAACAGCCTTTTCCTAACAGTTTGAAAAGAAGAATCTAACAGGTGGTAATAAAAGTGGCAAACAGTTGGAAAACCGTGAAGAATTCTAAAAAAACTGCTACAACAAAACTAAAATGAGTTGATGGCACAGATTTGATTTTAATGATTTTCAGAGACATTCACAATGCCTGTTACAAACCCAGACATGAAAGTATGACTTTAAAAGTTGCCTCTGCAAGATTGACGCTTCATGTTGTACTAGAATGGTGATATGTATGAAGAGAGGCTAACATTCAAATATTAGTGCACTTTTCTCTGCTTTCTGGTATTACAAATCAGCCTTCATCTTCCAGAGGTTGTTGGATATGAAAAGTGTGAAAGAAGTTTTAGGCTTAATTCTTGCTTTTGGAAATTACATGAATGGAGGGAATAGAACACGTGGTCAAGCAGATGGATTTGGTTTGGAAATACTTCCGAAACTAAAGGATGTTAAAAGTAGGGTAAGTACTTAATTTTAACTAAGATTGGCACTTCAATTAATTTTCATTATCTTGAACTGTTTCTTCCTTCCTACTGTTGTTTTCTTTATACCTGAGACACATAGCAAATGGACATAGTTCTGCACAGAGATTAATGTGTGTCTGCCATTGTTACTAAGCTCCCCCATAGGTAATAACAAGTGAATACAACCTGGAACTTTACTAGTTTAAACTATATAATAACTTCAGTTGACATATTCTGTTCTCCAGCTGGAGAAATTAGATTTTCAGTGTGAGCATATTGGATCATCCCTTCAATGATCCATGGGAAACTGTAGATTACGACATTGGTGAAGTTCATGGGTCATTCTGTTGGGGCTGTGAATATATAAAGCTTATAAAGGCAAAGGTCTTTGTCTAGCTGTAAAAAAAACGCTTCTTAAAATGCATACTAAGCCAGAGTTTACTTGTGGCCTAGTCTGCCAGGGTATAAGGTCACCTTAGGTTGGAAAAAGAATAAACAGCTAGACAAAAGTGACCACAAGGAACAAATTGAGAAATTTGTGGGTTTCTGCATTACTGAGTAGTAAATAAATTCTTGCAATAGGCAAGAAATGGCACCCTGCTTTTAAGGATCTCTGACTAAGGTAGGCTACCCCATTATGGTGTAGGAGTTAAGACCACAGGATTGGGACTCAGGTGATCTGTGTTCTTGGACCAGTCACAGGCCTCAGCCTAACCTACCTCACAAGATTGTTGCTGTGGAGATAAGATTGAGAGTGGGAGAAAGAAAATTATGTAAGCTACTTTGAGTTCTTAAAAAAAGAAAAGGAAAGGGTGGTATAGGGATCTAATGACTAAAGAAATGTACATAAAAGTTAACAGAGTGTTACAATATAAAATAAAGTACTGGTTTCTGCTATTAGTAGGGGTTGCCTGGAGTCTCTGTTGGGAAATATGGCAAATACTATAAGCTTAGCTTTATTTTTATTCTGTTTCTGTACTAAGGTTGAATTGTGTATGCGTGTGTGATGTTTTGGGATCAATAAAAACAATCTCTTGTTCTAAACCATTACTTCTTCAGCTCACTGACTTGATTTGCTGTGGTGTGTGACTATTGTAATGGCTTCTCAGTATGTGCAAACCCAGTGCAATTGGAATGTTTGGGTGGTTGACAAGCCACAGACAGGTAGCAGGGGTCTGTCACCAGTGAGCCAGCTGGACAAATTAACTGGACAAGTAAAAAAAAAGTCCTTATACTTACTTTAGATGTTTTTTAGAATTAAGAATTCAGAAGCGTGACTTACTTGCTCTTCAGCAATTCCTGCTTTTGTGTAACATGGAACTTGTCTGTTGGATTTCATACACAAGATGTTATCTACTAAGCTTAAACCCAAAGGTTTTGTTCCACCCTTGAAAGGTAATGTCTGCTCTTGCTCAATTACTTGTACAAGAAGAACTGCTGCAGGCTGAAATATTATACTACTTCATGAACTGTTACACAAGCTATTGTGCATTTATAGAGCAACACTAGCAGCTACTTCTTTGCTCTTTGTTTGTTGGAATCAACTTTATATTTTACAATTTTAAAAAAACTGGCAATTTGCATGGTTGCTCTGAATAATGATCAAGATCCTGAGTTTGCCCCTGTGGACAGAATCATTCTTTACATAGAGATCTCCTTGCAGGATGTCCTGGCAGCAGAAGTGGGGGAAAGCATTTTTCACTGGTTTCCTCAGCAGTCCTGACTGCCCCAAAATCTGCACCAGACAATGTTAGGACCCTGGGAGATTTGGGGGATGGGAGTTGCAGGAAGGAGGAGAACAAGTAGAAAAATGATCTCTTACCTCTCTTTCTGTCAGTGGAATCTTTTTTGGATGTGTATCATACCATGAATGGAAAGAGTCAGGATCTAGGCCAATAACTGTAGCAGCAGATATAGAGAACTTAAACATTTGGGATAGCTAGGTTTTCCAAAAATACTCAGTCCACTAAGCTTTGAGGATTTGTAGTCAATGCAGAAAAACAATGGCATGATTATCATGTAAAGACCCAAACAACATATATTAGTGAGGTTTTTCTGCAAAGGAAGTAGTAAATAAATTAGGAGCACAGTCCTCAATTGTTCAAAAGGCGAGTTCCACTGAGTTCAGTGCGACTTATTCTGAGGTAATTGTGTAGAATATTTCAGCCTAGGAGTATGGTTTCTTTAATCCATTTCAGACAGCCATCCAAATGGGTTGTGTAACAATTTTTGAACATTTTTGTTTGTTTATTTAGGGACTGTGCTAATATTTTTTCTAAGAAAATACAATTCTGATAAAATTAAATGTGTACATAGAGTCTGAATTTAGTTTATCTTCTTGAACTTTGGTGCATAGCTAAATCCTATCCTGGTAGCATTTGGTATGCTGCTCAAAAACGAATGCACATTTCAGAAGCATTCCACATATAATACATTTTGAAATCTTTTTCTTTTTGCTATTTCATAATTTCCTGTAACTAATGATTTCTTACCTAAAGCACAATTTAAGCATCTTCCTACTTAACTTGACCAAATTGATTCAGAAGTCCACATAGTACAGTTGCTTTTCTTCTGTGATTTATTTTGTGTTAATTGATGTTTAGTGTTTATATATTATTACTGTTTTAATTTGTTTATTGGAAGTTGTTGTTTTAAATTGTTTTTAAAGTACTGTAAGCCGTCCTGAGGTATTTATATAAAGGACGGCATATAAAAGCTTTTAATAAATAGTAGGCAAGCATCAAACAAGCAGCACAAAATTTTGAACAAATTATTTTATTTCATAGAAAATGCTTGCTTTTTACTTTAATGTGTGTTTGTTAAGTAACTTAAATGACTCTATGAATTGTACAGAAGAGCACTGTCCATGTATAATGATCAGCTGTATGTCCTACTCTAATTGGCTGCTATTTTACATGGGATGGCTCACTATTTCACCTTTCAAGCTCATAGGTAAATAACAAGGCTGGAAGGTGTTATGGAGCTTTTTGTCTAGAAAATATCCCCTCACCTGATGTCTGCTAGTGAATTCCAATTACACTTTTGTTAATACACTGTTCCTAAAACTAATTCCCTCTAGACTTTTTGGACTTCAACTTCCATCAGCCTCAGCCAGCATGACCAATTTTCAGGAATTCTGGGAGTTATAGGGACTCTGAAGGGACCAAGCTGGATACAGCTGGGCTAAGGAATTTTCGAACAGTTGTTGTCATGCCTTTTCTAATGCAAGCAATTAATTTTTTTTCTATGAGTCTAAAAACTTGAGAACTAGAGAACTGGGTAATAGGCTGTACCTTTTCATCCTGTAGGCAGGATTTTACATCAGTAACATAGGTACCCACCTCATAGCCATTTGTATATGGTCATTTCCCATGTCCTGATGATGATATGTAAAGCATTACTTATGTGGATTGTGGAGTCACACTGGTACGATGCACATATTAGAGATTCAAGATGAAGTGCTAATATGGAAAGCATGTTTATGATTCAAACAGTTTACATGACAGACAGTTCTTTAAGTCATCAGTATTTTTCTTGTTATTTTAAATTGCTGCAAATCATACTGAGTTGGGTTATGATTAGAAAGGTGTGATACAAATTTTAATATTAATAAATTAATTAAATAGTATAATATTGGAACACCTGACTCGGAGGTGTCCAGTCTTGGCAAAGATACCCTTACAGGTCAGATGTAATTTGGGCCATATCTGGAGGAGACGACTATCAGGAAAGGAGTGTCTATCTGTTCAGAGGTCACAGTTCAGAAAGTGAGACAGGTCGTTCAGTACCCTGGACAGGTCCAAGGAAAGAGACAGCTTCACTGACAAGGGCTGGATGCAGACTTTGCTCATATCTTATGTCCATCAAGAATTAGGAACCTTTGGTTTGTAGATTACACATGGCCCACAAAACTTCCCTGTCCAACCTCAGGCCTTTCCTCCTAGCTGTCCCACCACACAAGAATCCTAGCTGCTGCATAGGGGGTAATTTGGGGCAGGGTGGAGGCTGCATACAGAGAACTTTTGCAAGCCTACTTTCCATGCAGGCGATAGCTGTGTGCTCACAGCTGTGTGGAGACAGGCTTAATCTTCTCTTTGTGTACTATGGTCACCATAAAAATTGCCATCTCCCCATTTATTTATTTATTAAAAACTTTTCTAACCCATCCCCTACACACGTCTCAGGGCGTTTACAATAAATGAGTAAAATAAACACCACAGCATCCAACAGTTAATATACTAAAACCCCGGTTAAAATTAATTAAACATTAAAATAGTGGGAAAATAAAATGGGTTTTGCCTAACGGCAAAAAGAATACAATGGCTGTGCCAGGCAAACCTCTCTGGGGAACATATTCCACATACTAATTAGACATTTAAAAAAGCTTCTCATTTGCTCCAGTGGGAGGCTTTTTTCAAACCTAATGGCTGCAAGATGTGGGTGTGTGATGGGTATATGCAATTTAAGTTATGAGGGAATAAGCACTTAGATGAAGATTACCCACTGTTGTCTTATATAGGCCCTCAGTCTGATTGCCCCTTGTAGAATCCTCCCATTGCTAGAAAATAAAGATCCTTAAAGGGACAGAATGTAACTCTGTTGTTACTCCGTCACTTCTTTCCAAGAACATGACCTGTTTCTGGAAATGTTTTAAATAATAATTTAAAATAATGTTATCATTTAAGAAATAAAACAATATTTTGTGTAATTGTTGTAAACTGGATTACTTTAAATGTGCTTATTATATCTCTTTTGATTTTTTTTTTCAATTCTGTTTTAAATCTTTCCCCTGCCCCCTCCCCTTTAGGGTGCTGGCATCAGTCTTGTGGATTATGTTGTGATATATTACCTACGCCATTTTGATAAGGTAAGTCAATTTGTTGCATCTCCTATTGTACTATATACTGTGTTAATACAGTATTTAAACATATTATTAGACAGGATGCAAATATTCTGCAGCATTCTTTTCATATAATGCTTCCCATATTTCTATCAGAAAAAAGAAAGTATATAGGAACTCCCACTCAGCACTTTATTTATGTATTATTAGCATTTATATATCAAATTATCTACTAAAAAGCCATCAAAGTAATGTTCAACCTTTAAAAATAACTTACTCAAAACATAAAAACAGTAAAATACTGTTAAATTATATTGTTTTATATTATGTTATTTATTTATGATTGTGAGCCGCCCTGAGGCTTCGGCGAATGGGGCAGCATAGAAGTTGTCTAAATAAATAAATAAATGAACAAAATCATGGGCAGAGCAATTATATGGCTGTTAGACAAAGTTGAGCCAACAATAGGATTCCTCAGAGCCAGCTACAAGGTCAGAAAATCTTAAGAGCCACCTTGGAAATAGCCTTTGGGGAGCAGGGATGGAAGAGGACCCAGCAGCACCAAGATATGCTGTATCTTGAGGGTTCCTTACCCTCTTTCCTCAACTTTGAGGTACTGAACTTAGATGGCTCTCTAAGTGATTTCCAGGGAAAGAGGAGCATGGAGAGCACTTTCACTTTGTCATCCTCTGTCCTGCAAAAGATGTTTAGTGTTATGGGAATCCCACCTGGATTACACCTTAAAATGTTGAAACTGAACATCTTGAAAGGCTAAGTTAAAAAGATGTTTAAAGCCTTTCATGTTTAAGCACAATGAAAAAAATGCATCAAAGTGAAATTAACTCTGTGGCAGATTGTGGATGCTAAGCTTCTGCTTGCTTTTCACACAGAAAATGGGAAACTCCTGTACTGTGTTTTGGATCACAGGAAAATATATAAAATAATAAAGGTGTACTAACAGTTGGAACATAAACCATCAATTATAATTGCTCTTCTCCTTTCTGTCCTCGACACTGGAATACCTGGAATACTATTCAGCCTCAAAATCATAATTGTTTCATTCAGTCAGGGCTCCTCTAACAATCTGTCTGTTCCACTCTTATTTTTTATACTTTCTATAAATGAATGGTCTGGTCTGGTCTGGTCTGGTCATCATGAGATCTGAAGAAGGTAGCTTCTTCCCAGCAATTTAAGCTTGAAAATCATGTGGACTTTCATCCTTCCCATAGTTTCATGTAACTGTGTGCAGGATTATAACCCCCATTATTAAAGCACTGCTTGTGCATTACGTAGCATTTTCTTTGATTTTTTAAATTCTTTTTTGGGTTGTGCAGTAGAGCCTCTATTATCTTGAAACAAATGCCAAATGTGGACAAGCTTCATTTGTGAGCAATAACTTTTATTTCTCTTAATTATTTAAAAAGGTGATTGAATTTGGTACATAAACTGCACTCTACCACTTGAATAAATGCCGCCAGTTCACTTGCTCTTCATTTCAAATTGTGACATGGTTTTTACTGAACTGACTAGGGATTATTTTATGCTGCTGTTTTAAGTTAAACATTTTAGATATTGCTTTAAAATGCAACTCTATAATATATGCTAAATATATAAAATATATTATATATGCAACCCTGTAATAAAGCTCTCAATTCTAAACTGCTTTAAGAAAAGTTTGAAAGGTAGCACATAAATACCTAAATAATTCAATATTAAATAAAGGAAACAATCCATTAGTCCTTTTGAGTAAGACTATGGTAACAAAATAAAAGGGTTCTGATTCTGTTTTTTAAAGCTTTGGGATTTTCTGGGTTTAAAGAAATACTTAAACTCTTTTTTGACTACTTTATGGAGATATGATGAGAAAAAGAATTTCTTACCAAATTCAATTGTATAGTTTACAGTGTAAGGTCTGCTGCATTTGTTTTTGTTGTTACTCACGAAGTCGTGTCCGACCCATCACGACCCCGTGGACAACATTCCTCCAGGCCTTTCTGTCTTCCACTATCCCCCAGAGCCCACTTAAGCTCACACCAACTGCTTCAGTGACTCCATCTAGCCACCGCATTCTCTGTCATCCCCTTCTTTTGCCATCTATTATTCCCAGCATTAGGTTCTTCTCCAGAGAGTCCTTCCTTCTCATTAGGTGGCCAAAGTATTTGAGTCTCATCTTCACTATCTGGCCTTCCAAAGAGCAGTCAGGGTTGATCTCCTCCAGGACTGACTGATTTGATCGCCTTGCGGTCCAGGGGACTCGCAGGAATCTCCTCCAGCACCACAAATCAAAGGCCTCAATTCTTCGGCGCTCAGCCTTCCTTATGGTCCAGCTTTCACAGCCATACATTGCAACTGGGAACACCATAGCCTTGACTATCCGCACCCTTTTTGGCAGGGTGATGACTCTGCTGTTTAGTATGCTGTCTAGATTTGCCATAGCTTTCCTCCCCAGGAGCAAGTGTCTTTTAATTTCTTGGTTGCAGTCCCCGTCTGCGGTGATCTTGGAGCCCAGGAAAATAAAATCTGTTACTACTTCCATTTCTTCCCCATCTATTTGCCAGGAAGCGAGAGGACCGGATGCCATGATCTTAGTTTTCTTAATGTTGAGTTTCAAGCCAACTTTTGCACTCTCCTCCTTCACCTGCATCAAGAGGCTCTTTAGTTGCTCTTCACTTTCTGCCATGAGAGTGGTATCATCTACATATCTGAGGTTGTTGATATTTCTCCCAGAAATCTTAATTCCAACTGGTGATTCATCTAGCCCCACCTTTCTCATGATGTGCTCTGTAGGCAGGGCGACAGTATACAGCCTTGCCAAACTCCTTTCTCAGTTTTGAACCAATCAGTGGTTCCGTGTCCAGTTCTCACTGTTGCTTCTTGACCCGCATATAGGTTTCTCAAGAGACAAATAAGATGGTCTGGTATTCCCATCTCTTTAAGAACTTGCCACAATTTGTTGTGATCCACACAATCAAAGGCTTTAGCATAGTCAATGAAGCAGAAGTAGATGTTTTTCTGGATCTCCCTAGCTTTCTCCATGATCCAGCGTATGTTGGCAATTTGATCTCTAGTTCCACTCCCTCTTCGAAATCCTTCCTGTACTTCTGGTAGTTCTTGGTCCACATACTGCTGGAGCCTAGCTTGTAGGAATTTGAGCATAACTCTGCTAGCATGTGAAATGAGTGCAATGGTGTGGTAGTTTGAACATTCTTTGGCATTGCCCTTCTTTAGGATTGGAATGTAAACTGAGCTTTTCCAGTCCTGCGGCCACTATTGAGTTTTCCAAATTTGCTGGCATATTACGTGTAGCACTTTTACTGCATCATCTTTTAAGATTTTGAATAGCTCAGCTGGAATACTGTCATCTCCAGTAGCTTTATCATTGCTCAGACTTCCTAAGGCCCATTTGACTTCACATTCCAGGGTGTCTGGCTCGAGGACAGTGACCACCCCATCGTGGTTATCAGGGACGTTAAGCTCTTTCTTGTACAGTTCTTCTGTGTAATCTTGCCACCTCTTCTTAATCTCTTCTGCCTCCGTTAGGTCCCTGCCATTTTGGTCCTTTATCATGCCCATCTTTGTATGAAACATGTCGTGAGCGGAGCTGGCTGGTGCTGGAGTTCAGACTAGATGGCCCGGGAGGCCCCTTCTGACTGTTTCTGTGTTTGCTGTTTCTGTGTTTGCTCTGTTTCTGTGTTTCTATGAAATGTTCCCTTCATATGTCCAATTTTCTTGAAGAGATCTCTGGTCCTCCCTGTTTTATTGTTTTCTTCTATTTCTTTGCACTGTTCATTTAAGAAGGCATTCTTATCTCTTCTAGCTATTCTCTGGAATTCTGCATTCAGTTGGGTGTATCTTTCTCTTTCTCCCTTGCCTTTCGCTTCCCTTCTTTCCTCAGCTATTTGTAAAGCTTCCTCAGACAGCCATTCAGCTTTCTTGCATTTCTTTTTCTTTGGGATCGTTTTAGTTGCTGCCTCTTGTACAATGTTGCGAACCTCTGTCCATAGTTCTTCAGGCACTCTGCCTATCAGATCTGATTCCTAAAATCTATTTGTCACCTCTACTGTATATTCATCAGGGATATTATTTAGGTCATAGCTGAGTGGCCTAGTGCTTTTCCCTACTTTCTTCCATTTAAGCCTAAATTTTGCAATGAGGAGCTCATGATCTGAGCCACAGTTGGCTCCTGGTCTAGTTTTTACTGACTGTATAGAGCTTCTCCATCTTTGGCTGCAGAGCACATCTTTGGCTGCTGAATCCTTTTTGTTCTTGTAAGTGTAACTGGAAATAGTGCTTCAAAAAGAACCCTGAAAACAAATGGAAATATCAGCAGAGCCTTCTTCTGCAAGTTCTGCAGATGCATGTTTCCTTGCATTAGCAATAAGCCATGCTATTGAATACTGTCATAACATAATTGTCCTTGCATGGGCTTTGACAGGCTTCCTCAAAGTGGACTCTAGTCCATGAAAGTCCATGCCATTAAAAGTAGTAATCTTTATGGTATGAAAATATGATCTGTAGTATCTATTTCAACTCTAGTCATAAAAATGTTAGCCTCTTTCCAATTCTGTCATTTCTACTAATGGCAGGTTCTTTGGTCTAGTTTCCATGAGCAGAAAAGAGAAAGGTTTGGTTTCATACTCAGTCTTTAGAGAAGACCCACTGAAATCAATGAAGCTTAAATTACTTAGGTTAGTACTCTAAGACTGGACCCAAGACTATCATAGCATGCCAAATCCCTTTGCCTTAAAAAAGACCGCATTAGTATAGTTCCTACAGCATTTGTATTGTATTGTATTAAAATATAACATTTGCTTTTTTCAACCCCTCTTGTGTGTAACACTGTGATTCTATGCATGTCTACTCAGAAGCAAGTCCTGTTGATCTCCTATATAAGTATACATCTGATTACAGCCTAAATGTGTTCCTCAGAGAGGTTTGTCTGGCGCTGACTTTATATTCCTTTTGGCGCCAGGTGAAAACCTTTTTATTTACGCACAATTTTAAGGATTAGGAATTTTAATTGGTTTTAATATTCACAGCCACATTTTGTTTTTGTTGGTATTATGTAGTTATTTATTTATTATTTATTGCTTTGTTTATTTACTGTTTTAATTCTTGTAAGCCATCCTTGGGACAATTTTCGTATAGGATGGGGTAGAAATATTTTAAATAAAGAAATCTTGACTATATACTGATACATACTTTAAAGCCTTCGGGATTTTCCCCACTCATTATCAGAAATGGGAACCTCAGAAATGGGAGCCATATGTAATTCAAAATACATTCGGGTTTTGTTTATTTATGCATGAATCTTCTGTATACTGCTTCCACTGTATGCATTTTGTGAAGTTTTCCTATATTGAACTATCAACTGATATTTTGAAGACTGATAGGTAAATTACATTGGATACTTAGCATGAATTTATGTCTGAGTTTGCTTTTGTCTCTTTCCCAATCCTTGGGATAAAATGATATAACATATAAATAAAGAAGGAAACAATATGCTAAAATAAAATAGTATTGTTCACATATTGTTCATGTGATTCATATCTCCGAAATCTTTCATGAAAATGACAAATGTTACAGTAGGTCATTCCATTTTTGCATTTTCTTTGAAGTAAATACATCTGTGATCTTATGTTATTTATTCATATTTATAGTTTATGGAACATTAATTTGTTTTTGTAGAAAATTTGGCACTTTTATAGTCACTGGTTTTAACCTGTCTCGTTTAGGAAGCAGGAACAGACAAGAGTGTGTTTCCACTGCCAGAACCACAGGATTTCTTCCAGGCATCGCAAGTTAAGTTTGAAGACATAATAAAAGACTTAAGAAAACTGAAGAGAGATCTAGAAGGTAAATAAAAAGGGACTTCATTTTAAAACCTGCTTTTAAGACTTTGAACAGCCATATCTTCTGCAAGTTTGAATGAGTGTAAGTCCTACTAAAACCTTTGGAGCTTCCTTTCAAGTAAATGCATGTTGGACTTCGTTACTGATTAAGTTAGTACTGCTCTTGGCAACAAAGTCAAAAGTACTGTTCTTAAATGGCAAGGATTTGAAGCAAAGTCAACAACAAATGTGTTACTCAATATTAATTTGAGGTTTTTTAATAACAAAATAATGAAATGTGTATGAGTTCTGAGAAAAATTCCTCTAATTTTTCTGGGGGACTGAATTTAATATTGCAAATAGGTAAGGGCAGTGTTGCATATTTTGTCTCTATACTTATGAAACAACAGTTCAAGAAGTATGACAAGAACTTTGAATAATAGTAAAATTGTTAATAGTAATGTGAAATAAAATTAGTTGTTCTGCCATGCACAAAATATAGACATTGCATGCAAACCTGAGGGAAATTCCGTTGCCAAAGAACCAAGTTCCTTTTAAACTGAACAGCGCCTCGACTTTGTGGCAAACAAAACTTCAGTGGAAGCATCAGCTGCATGTACAGCACCTTTACTTGTAGATCAGATAATTTATATCATACTTTTTCCAACAAAGACAATGGGAATGTTGGATCTGGATTTTTTTTCCTGCTATATCTCGATGAAGCCACTGAAAAATAGAGTATTCACTTTTCTTTTAAATAGCAGATCAGCAAATTTTAATGAATTGAACCTTAGCCATGAAATTATTGTTGAAATTACTTTTTTTAGAAAGAAAAATAATATCTATATTTCAATTGGTGATCTTTGCTGTCCTTTCTTTAAAAAATGCCTTTTATATCCAGAGGCAAATAAGATTAAGTAAACAAAAAAGTCATCACAAAATAATTTGTTCTTTTGGTTAGATATGGTTGAATTGGCTTATTCTTGTCACCTTAAAGAAAGTTTCAAAGGTCAACAGTGGTAAGGAAGTATCAGTTGTTATTTATTCATTCTTGGCACATATGAATGCTCTATCTCCTCTCATCTCTTGGCTTTGTAAAACCCTTGGCCTGCCCTCTCTTGTGCTAGTTTGTGCTGAAATGTGATCTGTGTTTGATCTTTTATTTTTCAAGTGTATAGTCCTGGTGCGATATGTTTCATTCTTGCTGACTGGGTATCAAGACTTTGATGTACTTTCTGCAATAGAAAAAATAAATTATTTTCTTTATTTGTCTATAAAATAAAGACAAACACATAAAACTAATTTTATTGGGGTTCACATTTTAAAGAATTGCTTATATGCCCTTTTTTCAGACATTTATCTCGAATACAGGTCGCTTTGCTTTCTATGGAACATAAAGTTCTTTTTCAGCTTTTTTGTGTTCATCCAAAAAAATATTCCATGTTGTAATAATGTAAAACAATTGCTGTTTGAGGGAGCATATCGCCATGTCCAAAAGCATTCGGATATGCCCAAAGTCACAAATAAGACCACCAGTCTAAGTGCAGAAGACATTTATCACCTTAATCCATCAGCAGCTCCTCTAGAGAGGCTAGCTTGGTTTTTACTCATGCCAGTTTCCCAGATAGCTGCTGTCCAATTCCAGCATTTGATAACTATGGGTACTGAATATCAGAAGGGTCAAGTCACCCATATTCCCTGAGTGTCACATACTTGTATAAGTCTGATTTCTATACATGTAAGATTTCCAAAACAGTGACAAGAATCCTGCTGAAACTCTGGTCAGTCCCTACTCCTGGCAGAATCATGCATTACCACTAGCACTTCAGCGAGAAATACTGAGAACCATCAGTGACTTCTAGCTGTTTGACACAATCTGAATGGTCATTGATGAGAAATGGTATGAAAACAGAATTGATGAGAAAACAGATCCAAAAGGGCAAGTTCAACAAGGGCAAAGAAACATCAAAAACTTGGCAATATTGGAACCTGTTTACCTTCATGCCAATATTGAATTCAGTAGTTTCAGATTTCCAGTGGGTATAGTTCAGTTCTTTTCATCATGCCCAAATAAGAATGGGAATAATTAAAGAGGATAATTAAATATATTGTAAGATATGAGCACCCTGTACTTCTGATAACATTAAGTCATTCATTAAAAAATATTTGGAGAATCACTGATTAAGAATTGGGAGACTGAACAACAATAGATGGAGATTCCTCTAGCTGCTTGAGTCTAGCACAATTGATGTGAGGCAACATCAGGTAATAAAGAATGTTCTTCCTATTTAGGACAAGCCCAGAAAAATGTACAACAGTATCGGAGGAGTTCTGACGTATTTAGACAACATACAAATTATGAAGAAATTATGTCTGCTATATAACCTCAGAAAGGCTTTATATCTATAATAGATACAATACTTAAGTTCAACCATATAGTGATAATATACGCAGAACAAGGGAAGATATGTTTCATGTTAGTAAAATGATTGTCAGTGGAATTTAATTTGTGCCAAGGACTATGGATATTCTGAAAAGATGTTGTATAAGATAGTAAAGAAACAAGTAGATGTGAACTTTCTCTGGATCCAATTGCTACATTTTTAAGTCATGTTGAGGATGTTACACAGAGGAAACAAGATTATGAAAATGCAGGTAATATGTGACCTGCTTCACATATTGGTTACTAGATATTTATTTATTTATTTATTTATTTATTTACAACTTTTATATGCCATCCCTTATGCATGGCATCTCAGTAAGGCTTACAATCATTAAAATCAAGTACACTAAAACAATCTCTCACAATAATAAATAATATATAGCGAATAAAAATAAATTAAGTAAAAATCAACTTAAAAAATTTACTTAAAAGTTAGTAAAATACTAACTTTTAAAATAACGGTTAAGTAAAAAGGTTTTGAAAAAGAGTATAAGCTTGGCATCTGGTGAACTTCTCCGGGAAGCGCATTCCATAATCTGGACACCACCGCAGAGAAGGCCTTCCTCCGAGTAGATGTCCTTTTTACCTCCTTCAGGGAGGGTTCTCAGAGCAGGACCTCTCTCGCTGATCTTAAGGGGGATGAGGGCATATAAGGAAGGAGACATTCCAGTCCCAAGCCTTTATAGGTCAAAACCAGCACCTTGAATTGGTCTCAGACTTCAACTGGAAGCCAGTGGAACTGGTCAAGGACCAGCATTATATGAGAATAACAACTGGTCCCCGTCAGGGTTCCAGCCACTGAAGTATCTGAACCATTTTCAAGGGCAGCCCAACGTAGAGCACATTACAGTAATACAACCAGAAGGTAACCAGAGCATGAATCACTGTTGCTAGGCAGTGTTTGTCCAGGTAAGGATGCAGCTGATGGACCAGTCAAAACTGTAGGAAAGCACTCCTCACCATCGCTGCCACCTGGGTTTCCAGTGATAAATGAGAGGTAGAACTGGGTGTCATCAGCATACTGGTGACTCCGCAGCCCAAACCTCCTCATGACCTCTCCCAGCAGTTTCATGTAGATGTTGAAGAGCATGGGGGACAAAATAGAGCCCTGCGGAACCCCATGGCAAAGCTGCCATGGCACAGAGCTAAAGTCCCCCAGCACCACCTTCTAGAATCGGCCAGCCAGGTGGGAGCAGAACCATTGCCATGCAGAGCCTCCAACTCCTAGCCTGGCCAGCCTATCCAGAAGGATACCATGACCAATGGTATCAAAAGCCTCTGAGAGGTCCAGGAGAAGCAACAGGGACGCACTCCCCCTGTCCCTCTCCCCGCACAGGTCATCATACAGGGCAACCAAGGCAGATTCAGTACCATAACCAGGTCTGAAGCCAGACTGAAGTGGGTCCAGTTAATCCGTTTCATCCAAGAGTGCTTGGAGTTGTCCCACCACCACCTGCTCTAACACCATGCCCAAAAATGGAATGTTGACCACCAGTCTAAAATTGGCAGCCACCTCTTGGTCCAGGGATGCCTTCTTCAGGATAGGCCCTCCCTCAGTGAGGCGTTGATAACCTCCTGGACCCAGGGACCAATCCTTTCAGTAGTCAAGAGGGGCAATGGGCAAGAAGACAGGTGCTAGGACACTCTATTCCAAGCACCTTGTCCACATCATCAGGCCGCAATAACTGAAACTCATCCAATAATGATGGACCAGACGGTGCTCTGGACACCTCTCATACTGGAGCCATATCAACTGTGGAGTCCAGATCACAGTGAATCTGAGCAATTTTTTCCTTAAAGTGCTGGGCAAAGTCGTCACAGCGTGCTGACGAAGGTGCGACCACTTCATTTTTCTGGTAGTGTTAGTGGAAACAGCAAGAGTTCCCAACAGCATAGGAATGGAAAAGTAAAGCCTTGCCCAGGTTACTTTACACAAATAGATGTAGGTGGTTTTGATTTGTTAAGAACTTTTTGAATTGTTGGCAGTTCTAGAATTAGACTAATCTATGGAAAATGTTAGACATTGTATTTCATAATAATATTACTGATTTGGTGGAATGTTCCCTTGGGGGCTGATAATAAGTGCAGTAGCTCCACAGAACAGCCATATGGGAGTCAGGGCCAGACAACTGATGACTTTAATCACAACATTCTGCCTTTTGAGTTCAAGGGAAATATTCACATATTGCTAGTGTGGGCTCTCTGCTCTAGATTGGAAGCAGAGAGTGATAATTAAGGGAGTTAAATGCTTGCTCCCCAATGTGGTCCCAATGCCCTGTGCCTGCAACAGGTATTACCAAAGCAGTCTCATTCACACAAATGGAAATTTTGGAAAACGTTGCAAATTGCAAGTATCCCCCCCCCCGCTCTCCCCCAAACAAGATCATGACCACATAGGTAGGAAAGGAGTTTAGGCCTCTCCTCCCATTCTAGGATATCTCTCCAGATCAGGCCCTGCCCCTCCTGACAAATGCTGGCAATTTGTGGAAAAACTAGGCTAGAATGATAGCATTGAACTCACATTTTGCTTGGCCCTCGATGACACATCATGGAACAGTATAAGGTTCACCTTCTCATAACTG